GACTAGGATCAGGGAGAACTAGGTTCAAATCTTCATTCTGCCATGAAAGCTCACTGAGTGATGTTAGACCAGTCATAGTGTTTCAGCCTACTCTACCTCACAAGGCTGTTGTGAGGATAAAATGGAGAATTATATAAGAAAATTATATCCCAGTTGAGGAGAAAAGTGAGGTATAAATGAAATGAATAAATATTATATACTGTAGCGATTCTGACAAGGAAGAGTTTTTGAACAAATATTTCAGTCTTTTCTTGTAGAGGATTATTGAGAAAGATTGCAAATGTTTGTTACTATGATTTGCCATATTATTTTCTTATTCTCCTCCCTTATTATTTTATGATGCACATACATAGTAAGTACATGCTTTTGAAGTGGTATACGCCATCTCTATATTTCTAGCTTTTCCTTAATATTATAAATGGCCACTGGGGGTCACCATCACCAAAAACAGAAGGCATAAGCTCTTTTTCAGATCTCTAGTGCAGACTCTAACCAAGAATTTCATCTTTGACTGCAACATCAGCACCAGCAACAGTGGCCTGAAGTTCTTGAAAGAAGAAATTCTTCTGAGAACTTTCCATCATCCTTCCTAAATAGTAGAGTCCACTTTCTACTTCTGGGTAGTGGAAAAATACATATTTTTAACATCAACAAACGTTTGCTAGTTTTCAAAAACAAAAAATAAGCACTTTGGAAGAAGTCTTATGAAGTATGAAGAACATGGCATGCCTTATTTTAAACATCTCTTACTACATTAGTTCTCCATTGGGAACTTACTCAGCAATTCCTAGCGAACCTTTTAAGTATAACTCCCTAACCCTTTTAAGTATAACTCCCTAACACTAACCCTTCTTTGTCCCACTGAAACAAAAAGCTTCTCCGGCTTAGCAGTATTAGGGCCAAAACATGTCTGACAGAAATCACAAGTGTCTTTCAGAGTGTAAAAAGTAAATCACACATTTAGCTATGATTTGGATTGAGGCCATGCAAGAAGGGGGAGAGGGAGTCTCAATCAGTTTTGCAAACTGAAACCAGCTGCCTGTACAGTTTTAAAGGAAAGACGTGTGGCTTTTTCAACCAAACATTTTCCCTCTTCAAAAAGCTAACAGCACAAAAAGCCCAGATTCATTTTACCAAACCAAGCAGAGGGTGAAGGGTTAAATTTCCCCCCTTCCCTTCCTGCAAGTCCCCAATTCAAATTATGACCGTGTAACTAATTAACTTTTTACAGATGGACAAAGATCCAAGATCTTTGTCATGTCTGTTTTGGTCCTCGGGCTCTCAAGTAACATGGAAATGGCTGTGATATTCTATAGTTGTACAGAAAATAAGATGAAAACAGAAATGCATTCTAAATGGAAGTAGTCTGAATACACATTCTCTGCTCTGAAATAAATGCCCTCAAATGAAGCAACTTTGCTTCAGTCAACTCTAGAAGCTGTGTTCTCATCCTAAGATTCAATATGGACATGCCTTTTTCCGACCTCCACCCTTTAAAATCTTATCCTCCTTAAGAAGACCCATTCACTTTCTCATTTCCACTAAGTTTAGTCAGAAGCTTTTAGTGGAAGACTCTGTCAAAAGTTTTTGGAATTCTGTAAAATCTGCTAGTCCACCCCAATCTACATGTTTGTAGACTCCAACAAAAATTCTAATGAGGTTTCCTTTGCAGAGACCATTCTGAGTCTTACTCCTCAGCGCTTCCTATTGCATGTACATGACTCTAGCAGTTTTAATAATGCTTTCTACTTAGGACTGGATTAAGAAATGATGAGACTTTAAGCAGTTAAGATGCCCTACAGCATTAAAAAAGGCGCAATTTAGTAATTTCATTTGTATTTTGAGGCCCCTCATAACATGAGGCCATAAACTGTCATTTGCTTAGCTTGCGCCTAAATTCAACTCTGTTTCTGCTTATCTATTTGGGGCAGAAATAGACTGATCAATCAAATTGTCCAGCTCCCTTGGATCCTAGAATAGTCTACTTGCACTTTTCTAGAAAGCAAATGAGTTTTTAACAGTGCTGAATGTTTTTGTTTTATTCCAGCAATTTCACATTTCTGTTCTTTGAGAGCCCTAATGATCTGTTAAGGCTGTTAGGAGACTGTCATCATAGAATCTAGCATCAACTGTGAACTGTGCAGTGAGCCTGTTCAACAGCTGTTCAACAACATATACCATGTTCAGTGCTCATGATCACACTACAACCTAAACATAGTTTTGTTTAGCTCCAGCAGAACAAAGTGAACAGCTGCTGAACAGGACTGTTCAGAAGCTGACTCTCAGCTGAACCAGTAATAAGCTGGAAGGCTAACCTCTGATCCCCCTCCTTGGAAATATTGCTCTGTCCTTGTTAGAAGACGTTTCTCAAGATTAGCGAGAATCTGCTTGATCTCCCAGCCCTGGAAACTTTGTTGTTGACAAGATTTGCTAGGAAACAGTAAAGGGCTTTGGGGGGGGGGCTCTCAACATATCAGAGGATCAGCTAGTAGTGGGCTTCAGATCCATCCCCCCCCCCCAACTGCTGTGACTCAAGCTGGCTGGGACACTGAGAAGTTAGAGATCAGAAGCTTCTAATCTCTAATAGGGATGAGCACCAACCGGCTATCGAACTAAAGTTCATCATAAAGTTTGGCCCATTCGTGGTTTGGGAAGCTATGTTTGTAGTGTCTCTTCCATCATGAACATTCATGAAGTTTTGGGGCAGTTCATGGATGGCTACACTTTGCAGACAAACTGGCGCTGGTCAATTAAACTGCTTAAAAAACTCCAGGGCAACAGTGGGGGTGGAACGCTCCAGCCTCAGAAACATCAGTAGGCACCCCTCCAAAGCTTGATAGCAGAAAACTCAACTCAGATTCAAATTTTATCATATGTCTGTTACCCAGATGTTTGCCATTGTGTTCACGTCCATACTCTTCTCTATCAGTGAGTCTGGAGAATCAAGGAATCTCTTCCCAGTTACAATTCCAGCATTGTTAATTAGGATACTAACATCACCGACTTCCTTTTTAACCTGTAACAAAACCCAACAAGCAGTCAGTACATTCTGAGCTGTGACAAGAGTGCTTACTTAGAATTATACCCTCAAGAAGCGCAACAATTATCTCCATAACTGGACTCTGCAAACAATGGGTTTTACATGTCTTCACATTAAGGGATTGTTCTCAATGTATCATTTTGCATAAGACAGTCCAGCATTTATCACATTTTAGTACATGAACTGCAGTAATATATTTGTTATTTGTTTTTATGCTTTTTTTACCTTATTATAAGGTTTTAAAGTTGTAAGTCGCCGCAAGACCCTTTGGATGAGCGGCAATTAAAAAATCCAATGAATGAAAGAATAAATAGTGACCCCTTAAAATACTGAAGACAGCAATACTGTCATGTACTTATAATTACTCATATTTTGAGTTAGCAAATTTATAGCCTATAGGGCATCTTTGTGAGTAGCAGTATAAAGCTGTCTTACCATTTCTCACATAAAGGTTTTACTTTATTTTAACGATACTGCTCTTACAGCGATTTTGGCACTGAACAGTATCGCACTAAGACTAAAAAAAAGAAGGAAATTTATTTAGTACATGTGTCACCATAATGTAAAAATTTAATGATTTTTAATCTTAATCGAATGAGAAAAGAATTTGGCAACTGCCAATGGTTTTGTAAAAGAATGTACATGTGGATTTGCTTCTGCCACTTAAGTGGACAAGGAAGCATCTGCAGGCAGCAGGCATGGCTAAGCCACACAGCACTCCTGGGCTTGTGACAAACTGATGTACAGAAGCAAGGCACTACTAGAACAATGATGGCGAACGTTTTTGAGACCGAGTGCCCAATCTGCGACCCAAAACCCACTTATTTATCGCAAAGTGCCAACACGGCAATTTAACCTGAATACTGAGGTTTTACTTTAGAAAAAACAACTCATATATTAACTTAGGATGATCCAAACAAAGTAAGGAAAGCAATCCCAAATGCTTTCATTTACTTAAAATTATTTGGCAGAGAATTCGACACTTTAATGATGGTCTGGGCCTGGCTGGGGCGATGGCACGCGTGCCCACAGAGAGGGCTCTGAGTGCCACCTCTGGCACCCGTGCCATAGGTTCGCCACCACTGCACTAGAACATACAAAGAAATTCTCTACATTGATAAAACACTTCTTACAGGCCAGCAACAACAGATCCAGGTATCTGAACAAAACATTTGTAGAAACCGAGATTGTGCGGGGAAGGGTGGGGAAGTGGAAGATTGCCCCATTGCTTTTTGTTCACACACACCCTTCCCCCAGCCACTTTTGTGATAAAAGGTCCTAGGGCCCCACTGGAAGATAGTGCCTGGTGGGGGCATGCAAAGGGAGTTCAGTACACTTCCTCAGACTCAATGTTTGTCTGCTTTAATAGGCATCCCTACCCACTTTTTAGGATAATGACCTGTGCTCTAACATAGGGCTCTGCTGCTGCCATTTGCAATTTTCCCCTTGCAGTTATCATGACTGGAACAACTGAGTTTCCTCTCTGCAATCTGAGCTCATTTTAATAATAGTTTTGTATTGTTTGTCAGGGGACAGCACAGGTGCATACATACAGGATAACCTTCTCCTAGCATTATCAATTAAATGACTGGGTCACCCTTTCCTTTCTGAAGTTCCCCAGAGACAGCATCATCAGCTTTGGAACTTGCTTTGCAAATTGGTTATCAATGCTGAAGTCTGAAGCATTTTGATCCAAACTGTTTGTGACTGAATTTTATAGCATACAGTAAAAAAAAGAAGAATACAGAGGAAAAAAAAAGAATACAGAGATTTGCAAACACTGTGGATAAAACAAAATTTGAATCAGTACCTCATACAGGGCAAAGTGAGGACATTCTATTGAGATTTATTGGAAGATTTTGTTTTAAGACCTTTGGCATGTTGCTTTACTGTTAACATTTTTTGAATATTTTAGACTATGTTCAGAATTGATAAGGTGCTTAATGTAAAACTGCATGTGACGAGAAGGACAACAACTGAGTAAATAAGGCCAGAGCAGGTGATGCTTACCACAGGAACACTACCCCAAACAACCTTCCTCAACATGTGATCCCATTCCTGACCTGTAAATACACTTATATTGTGCATTTTCACACACCCAATTCATGCTTTTGGAAAGGAATGGAAATTCCTGGCCTGATGGTGGGAGCAATCAACTTCACAAATAGTTCTGTATCGCTCATTACAGGGGGATCACTTATCATGGGAGGGCTTAGTGTGAGTTTTCTATTTTAAAAAAGAAAATGCTATTTCAGACTAATATTAGATGGATGGCTAAAAAAAAATCCAAGTGCAAAATATTGATATCAGATGGTCAAGCCCATTCCCTATCCGAAAAAGGCTCCTGAACACAACCCCAAGATGCAGTTACATCTGCATTTGTAATGTCTTTGCTTCCAGTATTTACATACCACAGTCGTGCAAAATATTGATATCAGATGGTCAAGCCCATTCCCTATCCGAAAAAGGCACCTGAACACAACCCCAAAGATGCAGTTACATCTGCATTTGTAATGTCTTTGCTTCCAGTATTTACATACCACAGTCTGGTGAATTCTAAGGAGGCAACCACATGTGGGACACCGCCAAAAATACACAAATAATAAGAAAAAGGAAGTACTGAGCCATTAAAGTCCCATCATGTCCTGTCATGGCATATAAAAGACCTCAGGGATGCAAGAGACTGATTTTTTTCAGCATCTGAAGTCAGTAAAAGGCTGATAGCATCATACTGACCAGGGCAAAGCACAACTTTGTAGGAAACTGTACGTATTACATTTTCACCCACTGAGTTACCAATATGCTGCAGCAGCATGCCTGAAAGTGATAATAAACTAGGCAAGACAGATGATAAATATGAAAGACCACCTGTAATCAAGAATTACCTGATCTGCCACTCGATAGATCTCCTGCTTCTTGCTACAGTCACACGTGTAGTCATGCACTCTCACACTTCCATTTTCTTTCAACAGTCTGGCCGTCTCTTTGTTCCCGTCTTGATTAATATCCCACAGAACCAAAGTGGCTCCAAGCTTGGAGAATTTTAAAGCCATAAGCCTTCCAATTCCACTTCCAGATCCTGTTATAAGCACTATTTCACCAGCAACACTCTTCTTCCGTACAGGGATAAATAGTAATAACAGAGACTCCAGAGTCAGATAGAGTAACTTCACAATGACAAGGAGTGTTTCCAGGAAGAAGTTCATCTTACAGAAGATTCTTCCAAACAGCTGTGCAAAGAGAGTTAGACTCAGTTAACAACAAATGTCAAGTTTAAAGACTTAGGGTTTAAATGAGCTTGTGATCAAGGCATGTGGGTAGCCAGGTGAAATAAAATACAAATTTGATACAGTGCAGTCTAGCATAACCCAGTATAAGATAAGCAATATATTGTGCAATTCATATCATTTTGACATCTATACTATAATATGCTGTCAAAGCTGCCTAGACCTGTCCTGAGAAAACTGTTCTGGTGTCTTGAACCTGAGACCCTGGAATAAGTCCCTCGGTTGATAACATAACCAAGCTTGCCCTGGGTTTGGACCAGTGAACTCACAGCAATGCCACCATAAAGCTAAAATAGGTTTTATTGTGAAGAAAGTAAAGCAAAAGATTTAAGAACAATATTGTTCCAGTGAAGGGTTCAAGCACACAAAATAATAAAGCTGACTTCCTGAATACACAGTGAAAAAGGTTCTTGCAGTGTAGATCTTAAGTTTTTACGGCTTCAGCCCAAAAGCATGCAGCACAATCCAGATGCTGCGGTTCCCCCTCCTTTCCCTGCAGACGTGGAGCCAGAAAGAACGAAGCCCTAAGGGGCATGCAATAATTTGGGGGGGGGAGAGAGATTGGAAGCAGAATAGCCGACTGAAAGGAGACAACTTGGGGAGAAGGTTGAGAGGTTTTAGCCGGCTAGGATACCGCCCTGCTAAAAGGATGGTAAATTATTGAGTACTGTGTGATTTGGTTGCTAGGTTGCTAGGCTGAAGAATTTGGTAGTAACCTGTATATTATTAGTGGTTTAGGATAGGCTGTCTCGGGCTTCATTAGTTAATGATTGCTGCGAGTTTGAATAATTATACAACAATCAGTAGAGGTTAATTTTATATAGAAGACAGGTAGATAATTTGGTTTCATCTGCACCAGGAGCGGCAGCTGCTCTTAGCGCTCACATAGGAAGATCAGCTCATTTAGCTAGCCCATCAGCGGTCTGAGGCTATTGCGAAGACTGGCTGGTGCGGTGATGCTTGGGCAACAGATTCCGGTGCTCTTGGGAAGGGGAAAGTACAGCGGTGGGTCCAGGCAAAGAGTGAAGGGAAGGACCCTGAGAAATAGAATGGCTCGGCGCCCTTCCAATCTGCGACCCATCCCGAAGGTTGTCGGGAGTGGGGCTAGAATTGATAACCCCCCCTTCAACATTGGTGCTGTGCAATGCCAGGTCTATAAATAATAAGACCACAGTCCTTTGGGACTTCCTTCTGGATCAGAAGGTAGACCTGGTGTGCATGACCGAGACCTGGGTGCGGGATGGGGAGACCATAGCTCTCTCCCAACTTGCCCCACCTGGGTTCTCGGTCCTACACCAATCACAGACTAGGGGGTGGGGGGAAAGAGGGGCTATTTTCATTCGGGAAGCTTACTCCTTCAGGGTGCTCCCGCCACTGGAGATCACAGGCATTGAGTGTGTTGGCCTGGTGCTGGAGGCCAAGGAGAGTTTGGCAATCTGGCTGGTGTACCGACCACCTAACGCACCAGTCAGTAGCCTGCCGTCCCTGATGGAGGCCGTATCAGGCTGGGCGTTGGAGTACCCTAGACTGCTGGTCTTGGGTGATTTCAACGTCCATGCCAACGACGCGGCTTCCAGTCAGGCAATGGACCTAGTGTCATCCATGGCGGTGCTTGGACTCTCCCAATTTGTAATGACTCCCACGCACCAGGTCGATTTGATCTTCACGGCTGGGATGACAGTGGACCAGATTACTGCTTCAGCAGTACCATGGTTGGACCACTATGCCCTGAAGGCCCATCTGTATGTTCCACCCCGACCCTGTTTAGGCGACGAGCAGATTTTAGCTTGCCTGCGGAGCCAAATGTACCCTGTACAGCTTCAGATGGCTCTGTAGGATCCGAAGCCCCCTGGCAGCTTGTTGGATGAGCTTGTGGAGGACTGGCACAGCCGACTCTCTACAGCCATCGATGAGATCACTCCCTGGTGCCCTCTGCGCGTTTGCTCTAGGCTGGCTCCCTGGTATACCCAGGACCTGCGGCTTATGAAGCGAGAGTTGAGACGGCTAGAGAGATGAGGCAACGAGAGCATTTTATAGGACGTTTATGAGCTCCTATGAGATGGCAGCCAAGGCAGGTAAGAGAGAATTCTATGCGACTGCGATTGCGTCTGCAAGCTTGCGCCCTGCCCAATTGTTTAGAATGATTCGGTCTTTAACAGCTCTGCCACAGGGCAGGCAAAATGCTAGGGAATTGGATATTGGCTGTGAGGCATTTGTGAGCTATTTCGCGGATAAAATCTTGGAGCTCTGCCGCAACCTCCCCGTTGAAACAGTAAGTGAACTCAAGGCCCCTTGCATGTCTTCGATTCTGGGTTTGGATTGTTTTAGCCCATTCAGCCTGGAGAAAGCTGAAAGATTGCTCGTCTCTGTGTGCCCAACCACATGCAACCTTGATCCATGCCCTTCCTGGCTTGTTAAAGCGGGCCACGAGGGGTTTCGAGGTGTCCTAAGGGAGGCTGTCAACAAACCCCTCTCTAAGGGGCGGTTCCCGGGGGCACTCAAGGAAGCGATGGTCCACCCTCTCTTGAAAAAACTAACCTTGGATCCGGCCGAATTGACCTACTATCGGCTGGTTTCCAATTTGCCTTATTTGGGCAAACTAATTGAGAGGGTGGTGGTGACACAGTTACAGGGTTTTCTGGATGACACTTCCATCCTAGATCCCTTCCAGTCTGGCTTCCGCCCGGGTCATGGGACAGAGACAGCGCTCGTCGCTCTTACTGACGACCTCCAGAGGCATCTGGATCGAGGCAGTGTGGCAGTACTGTTGTTAGACCTGTCGGCTGCATTCGACAAAGTCGACCACCAGCTGCTGACCCACCGCCTCACCAACGTGGGGATACAGGGGCTTCCCTTACAGTGGTTTGCCTCTTTTCTCCAAGGTCAGGAACAAAGGGTGGCGCTAGGGGAACAGCAGTCCCAAAGACACCCACTTGAATGCAGTGTGCCTCAGGGGGCGGTGCTTTCCCCAATGTTGTTTAACATCTATGTGCGCCCCCTTGCCCAGATCGCCCGGAGGTATGGGCTAGGGTGCCATCAGTATGCAGATGACACCCAGTTCTATCTGATGTTGGGTGGCCAGGCAGACTCTAGTCTGGAAGACCTGAACTGGGCACTGCAAGCCGTGGCTGGTTGGCTCAGACTGAGCCGGCTGAAACTAAATCCAGCGAAGACGGAAGTCCTGTACCTGAGTCGGGGTGGTCTGGGGATCGGTGTCCCTCTCCTGGCCTTCGACAGGGTGCCTCTGGTGCCGGCGCCAGAGGTTAGGAGCCTGGGAGTGCTCCTGGATCCCTCCTTAACTATGGAGGCTCGGGTGGCAGCCACTGCCAGGTTGGCCTTTTACCACCTTCGACTGATCCTTTCCTCGACCGCGATGACCTGGCTACAACAATCCATGCAATGGTCATCTCGAGATTAGATTACTGTAATGTTCTCTACATGGGGCTGCCCTCGTCACAAATTCGAAAACTGCAGCTAGTGCAGAATGCTACGGCCAGGCTCCTGATGGGTCTCCCGAGATAGGAGCACATCTGGCCTGTGCTGAAAACACTGCACTGGCTGCTAATAGCATACCAAATTCGCTTCAAGGTGCTGGTACTTACCTTTAAAGCCCTATATGGCTAGGATCCGGCATACCTGAGGGACCGCCTTTCCCCACACATACCCTGGAGAGCACTACGGTCAGGGTCACAACATCAGCTAGTGATTCCAGGCCCCAGGAAGGCCAGGCTCGCTGCAACCAGGGCCAGGGCTTTTTCAGTAGTGGCTCCTACCTGGTGGAACAAGCTCCCGGAAGAGATCAGGGCCCTGTGGGACCTTTTAAAGTTCCGCAGGGCCTGCAAGATGGGAGTTCTTCAGCCAGGCTTTTAATTAGGAGCCGCCACTGCCACTACCACCAACTATTATCGTTGGTAACAATGGGGTAGTGGGCCAGCCCTATAAAGATCAAACCACAGCATCGTGACAGATCGATTACCGCTGAACCGGGACTTCGTATTACATCTACACCATGCCATCTAAATTTGATTGAAGGATTAATATCACTGAGCACTTTAATTGTAAAATAAGGTTGTTTTATTTTGTTTTATGTGTTTTTATATGTTTTTATATTTTGCACATGGTGCCCTAAATTGTGAGCCGCCCTGAGCTTGTTCGCGGGGAGGGCAGGATATAAATATAATAAAATAAATAAATAAATGTAACACCGCATAGAAGGTGAAGGTAAGGGAATGGAAGGGTGGAGACCTAGCAGAATAGACTGCATTTGCAGAAAACTTAAGCCGCTGATCTTCTGACCTCTTTCAACCAATCCCTATGAAGAGACGCTGAAGAGTCTGGGACTTTTCAGTTTCAAGGCAAGTCAAATTTATTGCATTAGCTCACAGCCATAGCAAACAACATTAAGAAAAACAGTACAACATAGCATAAAACAATCACAATACACATTACAATAAAATATCAATTACAAAGATATAGAAACATAATTTATAAATAACAAACATGAATCTTAGTAACAAATGGCAAGGTTTAACAACAAACTACTGATGCTAGAATAGCACATAACAACCCAACGTGAGCAAGATACTATCTGTCGACCACACTGGCATCAGAGGGTTTTGACTGGATCTTTATAACTAAGGCAATAAATTTGTAATGTGACCCATTTATTTTGGTCTGTGAATATTACAAATTTGGACCAATCAGATTGTCCTGGACATCTTGTTTCCAAAATATCATTCACAATCCACTGCAAATCTTGGGCACCAAAAAACTACATGGACAGATCTCTGGTCACAAGAGCAGACTTGCTCATTATATGGGATACTGTTGTAATGACCTCTTAACAATGCTAGTGGTAACATATCAATCTGGCCTTAAGAAAGGCCTTCCTATGCTCAAAATTTAATAGTTCAGTAAAATAAGATGGAAGATTTAACAGATAGGGAGAAAGCTGCCTATAAAAGGAGGCTACTCTCGGGGTGCCTAATGATCCAGCATCAACTTGAGCACATATCCAACAGGCTTTGTTTTATTAACTGTTTGGCTGCAAAAAAAACCCCTAGCCTTCTTAGATATTCTTCTGAGAAACCAAGCTTGGCTAATGCATTTAATACATGACTCCTCCATGAGTTAAATTTTATCTCATCATAAACCAGAGTTAAAAAACTCAGAAGTGGGCAGAAAAGGACTTTCAACCAAAGTCTTCAACTTTGAAGACTAGAGTTGATATTAGAGGTAAGGACAACTCATATCTAACTACAGCTGACACTGTTGAATTTGGGACTAATAATAACATGGGAGAATTTATTTTGAATAATTTCAAGTGGGTGCAAATTTCCAAATCCCCAGATTGGAGCTTCATATAATAACTGGAAAAGTACCTTTGTTCTGTAAATTTCCAAATGTGGTAGCACCAACAAGCCTCCTCTTGTTCTATACAATCTGAGGATACCAAACATGATCTTTTCAAAATTCTGCTTTGCATGTTCAAAGTGTACTCACTAAGACCCAGAATTGTGGAAGATTAACCCTAGGTATTTGAAAGACGTCACCTGCTCTAATGGGATCCCATCCATTGTCCAGTTGTGAAGATGGGTTCTTTTACTAAATACCATGATCTTTGTTTTGTCATAATTTGCATGTAGTAAATTATTTCTACAGTAAAGGCTAGTAAAGAGTACAGTAAAGAGCCAGTAGTTAAGTGCGCAGACTCTAATCTGGGAGAACCGGATTTGATTCCCCACTCCTCCACTTGTACCTGCTGGATGATCTTGAGCAAGCCATAGCTCTGGCACAGCTGTTCTTGAAAAAGAGCAGTTTCTGTCAGAACTCTCTCAGCCCCACCTACCTCACAGGGTGTCTGTTGTGGGGAGGGGAAGGGAAAGGAGTTTGTAAGCCGCTCTGAGACTCCTTTGGGTAGTGAAGGGTGGGGTATATATCCAATCTCTTCTCCTCTTCTTCTTCTAAACTGTTTCAGCAGTCTTCTAAGGCTGACCTGTGTATGGGATATAAGCAAAGTATAGGAATCAAGGAAAATCAAGGAAGTCAAGGAAAAGTTGTGCTCTGGAAAGATGTTCAACAGGACTAGACAATTGGCCATGAATACCTAGTCTAACCTCAAGAGAGGTATTGGCATAAAGTCCTTCAATACGTTCCAGTAATCTATCCTCAATATTCAAATCCTCAATATTCAAATGGCGATCATACACACAATTAGACCCTCCATAGGCACCAATGCCGAGCAGATTTAAAGGGCATGATCAGACAACAACATCTGGGAAGTGCCCTGCAGCCGTCAGCAACCCATTCTGCTCCACTGCAGAAACGGAGTTAAAAGACACCGGGGGAAATCCGGTAGTAAACAGGTTGCAATGGGCCCCAGTGTGCTCATGGCGTTGGGATGGTCTGATCAGGCCATCCTAACTCTGTGCTGTTGTTTCCACCCCCTTCTCAGTATGCACATCATCGCAAACTCCATAGGGAGCCCTCAGTGCGGAGATGCAATTCATTGATTCCTCATTTAAGCGCATCGGAAACAAACAGCAAAAAAAAACCCCACTCACCCGTGGTTGCATCTGATCACACAGTGGCAGGCTGTGCTTGCCGCTTCCAAGAACTGTGTGATCGTGTAACTGCGGGTCCGGATGAAACAGCCTGGCTCTCCCCCCACACACTTTATCTCGCGCACGTGACTGCAACCTCAGTTTACCCCAAAGGCGCTCTCTTTGGATAGAATCAAAAGCTGCTTTAAGATCCATGAATGTGACATATAATTGTCTAGATAGTCTATTCACATATTTGTTAATAAAGTGCTGTAATAGGAGACAATGATCTAAGGTTGAATGTCCTGGCCCAAATCCAATTTGCTCTGGAACCAGCAAATCTCTTTCATTCATCTACTCCTCTAGTTTTAATAAGAGGTGCCTTGCATAGAATTGTCCTATAATGCTGAGTAAGCCTATTGGCCTATAGTTAGCTAGATCTTTTTGTTCTCCATTCTATAGATGGGTATAACAATAGAGGAAGTCCATTCCTGAGGTAATTTACCTGTTCTATCAATATGGGTGAACAAATTAGCTAAAACTGCTGCCCATTAATCCTGAAAAGCTTTAACCAGGAGCTTTGTTGTTTCTAATTGCAGATATTAAAGATTTTATTTCATAGGCCAATTGGGTGCTAAGCTTTGTTGGTTTATCATGATGGTTCCAACTGTATCACCTCCAGCTTAGAGTCATTAAATAACTGGGAAAAGTAATCTTCTCAGCTATCCTAAGATACATCTATATATCTAATTCTCAACAATCCCCTCTGCATGCAGATACTTATTTCCACAGATATTTCCTTATATAGGTGGCACTCACCCCCAACAGGTTTTCTGCAGACTCAGGGGACTCTGTGGGTCTACAGAAAAATCCAAAACATTTTTTTAAAAAAACCCTCAGGGAGGGTTGAATCCCCTCCCCCCAGTACCTTTTGAAATGGCCTCCACAGGGATCTACTCCAGGCCACACCGCATCAACAGTGAGAAACAGACTGGCTGATAGCCAGAGAGAGAAAGGGGAGGAAGCAAAAAGCAGGACTGGATCTCGGATTGGGGAGAATTCCTCCTACAGTATGAATGGCTAAATAGCGGGGGGTGGGGGTGGAGCCAGGCCTGGGACTTGGATTGCCTGCTTAAGGTTGGGGAATTCCTGGAGATTCTGTGGTGAAGTCTGAGGAGTGCAGAGTTTGGGGAGGGGAGAGGCCTCACTGAGAGCCAGTTTGGTGTAGTGGTTAAGTGTGCGGACTCTAATCTGGGAGAACCAGGTTTGAGTCCCCACTCCTCCACTTGCACCTGCTGATGTGACCTTGGGTCAGTCACAAGCTCTGGCACAGCTGTCCTTGAAAAAGAGCAATTTGTGTCAGAGTTCTCTCAGCCCCACCCACCTCTGTTGTGGGGAGGGGAAGGGAAAGGAGTTTGTAAGCCGCTCTGAGACTCCAAGTGAAGGGCGGGGTATAAATCCAATCTTTTCTTCTTCTTCTTCTTCTCACTGGATATAATGCCATAGAGTCCAGCCATTTTCTCCAGGGGGACAGATCTCTGTTATCAGGGAGTTCAGTTGTCATTCTGGGGGATCTGGGGAACCTAGGCCTAGCAGCACCCTTTGGGTGGCTTGATACCACATGACTTGCATGATTCAACTAGGCCTGGCTGCTTGCTAATGTTCAACAGCAGCCACCCTATGAAAGTCAGTGTAGTATAATGGTCAGAGTTTCAGAGTAGGGTTTGTGAGTCCCAGGTTTAGATCCCCATTTTGCTGTGGAGGCTTACTGGGTGATTTTGTACCAGTCACATACTTTCAGCCTATGAGTTACTGTGTGGATAAAAAGGAGGAGAGAATAATGTAAACTGCTTTAGTCCCCACTGTGGAGAAGGACCATCATTTTCCTCAATAGAACCTGCAGGGGGAAAGCTGAAGACAGAGAGGCAAATAAAGGTAGGTTGGCTGTTGGGTGGGAAGGAGATAGGGATGCCAACTCCAGGTTGGGAAATTCTTGGATATCTGAGGGGTGGAGCCTGGGGATGGTGGGGATTGAGGTGGGAGGGACTTCAGATGGATATAATGCCATAGACTCCACCCTCCAAAGCATTCATTTTCTCCAAGGGAACTAATGTTGCCAACTTCCAGGCAAGGGCTGGAGATCTGACCGCTGGCCCCGCCCTCTGCTGGGTGAGCCTTTAATTGTATTAAGGCTTCTCCTTGCCAGAGGCATGAGTCTTTGGTGAGAACTCGAGGGCTCTTGACAGGGGGTCTGGCTTAGGGGACCTGTAGAAAGCTGACTAGCTCTTACATTCTATATTTGTTAAGTTAGTTTTTGCTTCTGCAAACCTTTCACAAGTAGTCTTGAGAGGCAGTTTGACAAGGAAGTTATCAAGGAAGTGCCAGTCAAACTGAACTAATTTTGAAATGGATTGCAGCAGCATGGCTGATGAGGGAGCTGAAGAAGAAGAGATTGGATTTATACCCCGCCCTTCACTACCCAAAGGAGTCTCAGAGCGGCTTACAAACTCCTTTCCCTTCCCCTCCCCACAGCAGACACCCTGTGAGGTAGGTGAGGCTGAGAGAGCTCTGACAGAAACTGCTCTTTTTCAAGAACAGCTGTGCCAGAACTACGGCTTGCCCAAGGTTTTGGGCTGTATCAACAGAAGGATATTGTCCAGATCACACGAAGTGATGGTATCGCTTTACTCTGCTCTGGTTAGACTTCACCTAGAGTATTATGTTCAGTTTTGGGCACCACAATTTAATGTGTCCAGGGGAGGGCAACGAAGATGGTGAGAGGTCTGGAGACCAAGCCCTATGAGGAAAGGTTGAAGGAGCTTAGTATGTTTAGCCTGGAGGAGATGACTAAGAGGTGATAGGACAACCATCTTCAAGTATGTGAAGGGCTGTCATATAGAGGATGGTGCAGAGCTGTTTTCTGTTGCTCCAGAAGTTTGGACTAGAACCAACGGGTTGAAATTAAATCGGAAGAATTTTCAGCTAAACATTAGGAAGAACTTCCTGACAGAGTGGTTCCTCAGTGGAACAGGCTTCCTCGGGAGGGGGTGGGCTCTCCTTCTTTGGAGGTTTTCAACAGAGGCTAGATGGCCATCTGATAGCAGTGCTGATTCTGTGAACTTAGGCAAATCATGAGAGAGAGGGCAGGAAGGGTTGCATCAGTGCTTAGATCTTTTGGCCTTTTTTTACATGCCCAGGGAACACTTCAGGGTCAGGAACCAATTTTTCTCCAGGCCAATTTGGCTGGAAATCCTAGAGGCTTTTTTTATCTTCTAGACGTGGAACAGCGGTCACCGGGGGCATTTGTGAATTTCCTGCATTGTGCAGGTGGTTGGACTAGATGACCCTGGAGGTCCCTTCCAACTCTGTGATTCTATGATTCTGTCTCCTGGAATTACAACTGATCTCCAGATGAAAGAGATCAGATCCCTTGGAGAAAATGGCTGTTTTGAAGGGTGGAGTGTATGGTATTCTACCCTGCTGAAGTCACTTCCAAGCTCAAACCTCATCCTCCCAAGGCTCCACCCCCAAATCTCCAGGAATTTCCCAACATGGAACTGGCAACCCTAAGAGGAACTGATCTCTCTACTTGGGCAATCTGTTGTGATTCCTGGAGAGCAGCTGCTGCCACTGCTGCTGTGGGGAGGAGAGTAGGTGGGTGGGAGGACAGGAGAGTGCTTAGTAGTCCATTTTAATTGGATATCTGCTGTAATTTCACCTTGAACTAACGGCAGGGGACCCATTATTTCACCATTCAGAATAGTATCAAAGCTGCCAATGTACAAGATAAGTGGCTGATGATCACTTTCTGGGAGGTACCCTACTGAATGCTGTAAAATATCATCCAAGACAACTGGAGATAGTAATACATAATCACACTTGCTTCCCTCTGGTTAAAATAGGTAAATTCACCCTGCTTGTCACCTTCCATGTTGCCACTTAGTATTACAAATGTATTAATTAGTTGGAAAAGATTATTCCAGTTTTGTTAACTAAAAGATCTTTTGTTCTCCTTTTCTCATTATAGAGGTCCATATTATAATCATCATCCTTCTCTCTTAAAGTACTATCTTTGACTTTGGGTTTTTGACCTTTAGTTCAGTAAGATAATCTTCCAAATCAAGCCAACAAGATTCATAATAAAAAGGGGAAGAATAGGGAGGGATGTAAACATTACTAAAATTATCTGATTTTTGAACACCAAAAGGCAATCCATTTCCAGGGACCTTTGTTATCGAGTCCATTTCAATAGAGTTGTGGGACTGATGGATCTCAGCTAGGGGTGTGTGTTCGGTATAAACCGAACCGAATACCTGAA